GCAGCAAGAACAGTCTTGGGGACTGGATAACAGACAGCATTTTAGAATGGTTGAGGCAAATCCTACAAGAAGATAATGTCACAAAATGTAACTGGAAACCAGGGACTCAATCATAAAAATCCTTTAAAATATCCCAAGAGTCTGGATTACACCAAAGGGCAATGGGAATATGGGATGCTTTTGAACAAGGAAGTCACATTGTCCAATTTGTGTCTTAGATCCTTTAGGTCACTATGTGAAGAATGAATTCAAGAGGGACAGTTGGTGGCAGGTAGAATAGTTGGGGGCTAAGAAATTCAAATAAGAGACACTATGGCCCTTGTCCTAGGTTGGTTTCCTTTGAAAGTAGAGGGTGAGGTTCAGAATTGGCTGGCAGGTTATTTATTAGGGATGTCATTCCTGGATCCCAGAGTGGAAAGAATAAAATCAAAATGGGAGAAAAAAATCAATAAAAGTTGCTTTAATGAGCTGGTTGCTGCTATGGGCAACTGGAGCTCATTCTTACTGGGAGCCCTCTAAGGAATCACGTAGAACAGTGGTTCTTGAAGTGTGGTCTCTGTACCAGCAGCCTCAGCATCACCCGGGAGCTCATTAGTAAGGCAGAATCTTGGATTCCACCCCAGACCTACTGAGTCAGAATCATTGGAGACAAGGTTCAGCAATGTGTGGTTTAATCAGCTCTTCAGGTGATTCTGATGCCCTCTAATGTTCGAGAAATGTGGGCATAGAGCAGGCCTCATAATTGCCCCACTGGACTGAAGGAAAGAGAGGCAGAGACAGAGAATTTATACCCTGACTCCTGTCCCTCGGTGATGGACAATTGTTTCTCACATGTCAGGCTTGTACCAGTTAGGTGGCTAAAGGACCGTGGCTTCAGAGAAGGCCTGAGACAACAAAGAAAGGACCCATGCCCTTAGTGCAGCGTCCTGGCCAAGTGTGCGGAGGTGGAGCTGTCCACCACAGAGGTGCTGAAGTCGAGCGGACAGAGGGGCTGTGGCCCTTTCCCACATAACCAGACTACTCACTGTGACTGGGGTGTGGCAGTGGAGATGAAGAGAGTTTGAGGGTACGTTTTCAAGAAATAATCATCAGTACCCAATAAAAAGAGATAAAAGAAGAGGATATAAAAGGAAATTCCGTTTATCTTTTGTGAGGACCTTAATGGATGGTGGACAGGAACAGGTACCATTTTGGAAGCTTGAGTTAGAAGTACCTGTGATATAAGCTAGTGATGGGGGATATGGTGCTCTACGTACCAAAGGAAGGTAAAGGCAATCATTGTGATGGGAAAGGGTGAAATAGCTCAGGAGGTGTGTTGAATAAGTTGTGGAGAAGATTGAAGACAGCTCCCTGAGAAGCAGGAGAGGGGAGCACTGGGAGATCCTCTCTTTAATAAACAAGGAAAATAAGAATTGTCTTGAGGGAAATTTTGGAAGAGTCCAAAGGAGGGAACTGGGAGTATCTGAAACACACTGAGTACTCAGGAAATGCTCACTTTTATTACTAAGTGACTCGTCGTGGGGTGCTTCTGCTTTTAGGACAATTTTTTAGGCTGCCATTTTGCAGGAAAAAAAAAACATCTAGGTCAACTATTAATAGTTTCTTTTAAAAAGATCTCCACTTTTTAAAAAATAAACTGCTGCTTACTTTTTTAAAAATTGGGAACTATGTTGTCCCTAGGGATAATGGTCATTCCCAGGGCTTAGAGAGTGTGAGAATGATGTCATTTGTTACATGTTATAAACACTGGGTCTTCATTCAGACACTCCTCTGCCCTGAAATTTTAATCTTAGCTGGTGCTGCAGCTGTCTCAAAGTGACATCAACCCCCAAGGGACCATATGCCTGTTGTCTTCACATGAGGCTCTGGGCAGGCAAAGAAATTTGTTTAGAAACTTATTACAACTTTTCCCAGAAATCCATCACCTCTAATTTTGCAAAACTCAACCCAAGCACATCTTTAAGGTGTCAGATCTGAAGGGTGTGACCTCAGGTCTTCTTGGTATTGTAAGTATATGGATGTTTCCAGTCCTATAATTCTTATTGTAACTCACAAATTCACTTTTATGAAAGGGACCTACACATTCACTGGGACATGATAAGAAATCACTTAGGGACTTAATATTTAAATTCATGACAGTCTTCTGTCAACATTAAAGGAAATATATATGATTTGGCTTATTCATGCACTTGGTAAAATACAGCATTTTTCTCAGGGTGGTCTCAAGTTGCATGGTATATCAGCCAAAGGTCAAATATCTGAGCTGTTAATTATTCTCTTTGCTGTAAAAATTAAGAAGTTCACTTACTGCTGAAGCTTCTCTCTCAGGTCTTCACATCACTGTAGATCACTGGGGTATCTGAAGAGAGAGTTACAGTCTATGAGCAAAGAGGTGTACACAGGAAATCTCCTGGCTACTTTTACCCTGATCAGAAACAGTTTTTAAAGATATACGATAATTATTCTAATTTAGGGACCATTTTCATCTATAACTACCTTATACTTACAATGTATCAATGGTTGTTTCTCATATAAACTTCTTTGATGAGATTTTGAGGAACATTTTGTTGGATTAGAACCAAATTGAGGGAAGGGGTCATGTATCAATTATAATTAGACATGCTTCCAGAGGAAATGCAAGAGATTTTCTACCTGTCCATTTGATGAGCAATTTCTTGCTTTTGGCAGAACTTGAGCCAAATAGAATGGTGTTGGCTGCAGGTTTCCCTTTCGCCCCAGGGAGAATGATTTTGGCATGTCTTCACCTTTGTCACCTACTCTTGAGGTTGATTGGTAACTTTTACTAGAAAACTTTCTCTATATAATCTCTACCATATTTATTAGAGATAATTTTCTCACCTGGAAACAGTCATTCTTTATTATCTTATTTTAAATATATTTATGTTTTCTTAATGACAGTTGTCTCTGAAAACTATCTACATGAGGTAACATTGCTTCTTAGTTAAGCAATATCTCAGAGACCTATTGGCTGTGTAAATTATTTATTTCATTTGCAAGTTGGGAACTTTTCTCATTAAGAATATGTCAAAGCTAAACATACCTGCATTTGCTAAATTAACCAGCACTCCTGCAGCACTTAATATCTCTACCATTCTGAGAACTTTTCTAATCTTAATTTATTCAATCTTCATAACAATCTTTAAAAATGAGTTCCATAATTATCTCCAATATTCAGATAAGAAAATTGAGACCAAGAGCCATTTTATAGTTTGCACAAAATTGCCCAACAGGAAATAGCAGAGCTGGACATCCGGCCAATGTGTTTAACACTTGGCTTTATGCTAGTAGCCATTATTTTCTGGTGCTTTTCCATTTGTAAATTTTTCTACAGAAACACTGCCACGAATTCCATCTCTAGCTGCTTCTTGTATCTTGACATATTCCCTTCCTCCTTTGTTATTTTATGGCCAAAGTGACCTTCACCTTGGCTCGGATCATTTTAACATGCTTCTAAGCCCCTTGCTAACGTAGGCCCTAACCATCTTCTTAGTCTGTCATATGTGGTGGCTGGAGTTCCTATCTACCTCTAGCACAGAGACCCACATTTATGTCTTAAAATTAGGAATTCTGGTTCTTGCAAGGCTGAAAAGATTAGCCTTACCAGGAATTTCCAAGTATTTTCTATATGGTGTAGATAATTCCTCACCTCTCACATGGTTTATGACTGCCTCATTGCAAGTCTACCCTGCGATGGATCGCTCATCTTCTGGGAAAGATTTAGGGATTAGAATACTTTCAGATGCTACCTTTCCTAGGAGAATGCGTGTCTTCTTTCTAAGAGATGTGATGCATATTAAAATTCTAATGGCCTCTCTCAAATAATATGCTTATGCACTATATATATATATATATACTATATATATATATATATATATATATATATATATATATATATATATATATATATATATATATGGAGAGAGAGAGAGAGAGATGGAGTCTCACTCTGTCATCCACACTGGAGTGCAGTGGTGCAATCTCGGCTCACCACAATCTTCGCCTTCCGGGTTCAAGCAATTCTCCTGCCTCAGCCTTCCGAGTAGCTGGGACTACAGGTGTCCGCCACCACACCTCGCTAATTTTTTTATATTTTTAGTACAGATGCGGTTTCATCATATTGGCCAGGCTGGTCTCGAACTCCTTACCTTGTGAGTCACACACCTCAGCCTCCCAAAGTTCTGGGATTACAGGCATGAGCCACTGCACCTGGCTGGCAGAAATGTTTTAAGTTAAGTCATGTTTATGTTTTAGGTAGGGATGAGTCTTTTCAGCATCTCACAACATTCACCAGATAAGCAGTCACTTAATATCTTATTTATTATAGGCACACTAGAAAACCTTTATGGTACCTCACTACAGTGGTTCTCCATAGTCCCCCTTGGGCCTGCCATGGTGCTGACATCAGGCATAATGGTTTATGTGTCCTCACCAGAGTTTTGGGAAAAGTCAGTCCCATGTTGTAGTCTTTGTTGCCTTTGGGGGCGACTATTATTTTTCCCTTTGTCTCCTCTTAGAGGAAAAATCAGCATCAAATGCTTTGACCAGTTCACACCCAAAATGAATACTTATCTTTGATAATTACTATTTGAGGCACAAATATATATTTGATCTGTTCTTTAAATGGTGATTCTGTTTCAATTTTCCATTTAGTAAATTCCTGTATATTTTTGATAACATAATCAAAAGCAGCATGTTCCCTTCCTTTGGTTTAGTCAAACTTCCTCCCTGGAGGCCAGTTTTTCCTAGTGCAAAGGGCTTTTACCTGTGACAAAAGCTCATTGATATGAATCAGAAAATGTTTCTGCAGTGAGAGTACCGCCTTAATTTGTCCCAAACTGCCAATAGTGTTTTTATTGTCCCATGTATGTAGAACAGTATTCATATTTTAATGTTCATTAAAATGATTCCGTTTCTTAAAATCACACCTTTAATCAGTTTTGGTCTAGTCTTAATTACTGGTGATATTTCTCTCTTTTCAGTTCCTCCCAAATTTGTGGTTCAGCCACGGGACCAGGATGGGATTTATGGCAAAGCTGTCATCCTCAATTGTTCTGCTGAGGGTTACCCTGTACCTACCATCGTGTGGAAATTCTCTAAAGGTAAAGAGTTACTTGATCTGCTTGTTACCTGCAAAGCAAATGCTATGTTCTAAATGATTAGATGAGCATTCCTAGATTTCCAGAGAAGTTTCTTGCAAGTAGATATGTATCTGTTTCCACCAAGCCTATCATTGTCTCACAGGCATTGCTAGTCGTCTACCTAGGTGTTTTTATTCAGACCGACACTGTGTCTGTTCCACATAACGTGCCCTCGGAAAGACCTCAAAGGGATGGAAGGTTATTCATGTAGGTTGTTTCAGCACTTAGGAAGTCCTACCTTGCCCACCTGTATTACATAACCATGGTCTGACCACTGCACACTCACACATGAAGAGATGTGAGTTTAAATTCTGAGACCGACTGATAGCTGGGAAATTATTTACCCACTATTTAGACATATGAATGGGTTTAGATCATTAAAGATAATATCATTGATTTTTTTATTCCCTTGATTACCTTAGAATAAACACATTACACATCATCCCCTTGGCATGCTCTTTTTAAAAACACACGCCCAACCACTGTCCTATTGTGAGGGTTTCCTGCTCCCTGCTTCTACTAGCAGTAGTTCCTGGGTTTTGGGTAACATTGTAAACATTTCACAAGTAGGAATGTGTAACATGGAAAGGAGGGTGGAATCATTTTAGACTTTGGAAAAATAATTTCTCTTCATTTGATTAGCTTCTTCAGAAAGCTTTCTTTTTTTTTTTTTTTTTTTTTTTTTTTTGAGGCGGAGTTTTGCTCTTGTTACCCAGGCTGGAGTGCAATGGCGTGATCTCAGCTCACCGCAACCTCTGCCTCCTGGGTTCAGGCAATTCTCCTGCCTCAGCCTCCTGAGTAGCTGGGATTACAGGAACACGCCACCATGCCCAGCTAATTTTTTGTATTTTTAGTAGAGACGGGGTTTCACCATGTTGACCAGGATGGTCTCGATCTCTTGACCTTGTGATCCACCCGCCTAGGCCTCCCAAAGTGCTGGGATTACAGGCGTGAGCCACCACGCCTGGCCCAGAAAGCTTTCTTAACAGTACTTGCAAACATATTGGAAGTTATCTTTCTTTTCCCATTTAGACACTTGAGTTTAGTACTATATTTATTAATACAAAAAAGTTGAGGGCCAAATATGTATTGGTGAGTTCAAATAATCAGTCAATCATGAACTTTTTTTCCCAACAATCTAAAAACGTAGCATATAGGTTTAATTATTGTGAGGTATTTGTTTGTGTATTGACTTAATCATGGTTTATACTCTAGATGTTTCTTTTTAAAATAGCATGCTGAGGCCAGGCATGGTGGCTCAAGCCTATAATCCCAGCACTTTGGGAGGCCAAGACCGGTGGATCACCTGAGGTCAGGAGTTCTAGACCAGTCTGGCCAACAAGGAGAAGCCCTGTCTCTACTAAAGATACAAAATTAGCCAGGCATGATGCTGCATGCCTGTAATCCCAGCTACTTGGGAGGTTGAGGCAGGAAAATTGCTTGAACCCAGGAGGTGGAGGTTGCGGTGAGCTGAGATCCCGCCATTGCAAACCAGCCTGGGCAACAAGAGCAAAACTCCATCTCTAAAATAAAATAAAATAAAATAAATAGCATGCTACATTTTCTCATTATGAAAACAACAATGACCAAAGAAAAAACAAGTGGTAACTTTGTTGCAGCCCTCCTGCTATCTGTCTTTTGAGAAGGAAGGTAAAGAAGGAGGAAGAGGGTGCTAGACACTGACTGGGAGAACAACTAAATTTTTTTTAAATCCCTGAGGCAATTCCCGTCACACACCACATCCACTGTCCATGTGAAAAGGACTTCTTCAAAAATAAAAGCCTGTTATTCAGAGTCTCTGCCCCCATGACTTTTTATTTCCTGCCATATTTGAAGCTCCATTGTACATTATTACATGGAAACAGATAAACAGCATAAATTTAATTTAGTTTCTATCGATGCGTATTTGATATTACGGACATTTTCCATGACATTTGTCTTCTTTGACATTATTTTTAATGCTTGTCATTATACAGGTGTTCTCTCTCTCTCCCTGAGGGTGTTTAACGTTTTCACTCCCATAAATACTGCACAAATGAGCACTCCTGTATGTTAATTCAACATGCATAAGTGTAAGTGAAGTGAAATGCCACCAACCATATAGAAGGCTCTTACTCTGTACTGCCCAGGGGCACTTAGGCCACCAACAGTGTGGGTGGGTGTATGTGGCCCAGCATCCTCACCAACTAGATAAGATCTTTAAAAAAAATAGTCTTTACAACCTGGTGGTTGAAAATGCCTTCTCACTTTAATTTGCCTAGATTGTAAAAATTATGTAATATGTTTTATCTGATGTTAACTGACCACTTCTACTTCTCCTTTGGGAAATTTCATATTCATGTAACTTGCCCACTTACCTCTATTTCTTTTTCTTTGGAAGTATTTCTACATAGAGTAAATAATGCTTTCTCTGTCTTGGATATTATTGACATTTATCCCTTCTTACCACTGATTTAAAAATTAAGTTGTAATAGTAGCTTTTTTGTCTTTAAATTTCATATGCAATATCAAGTCATCAAAGAAAAAAAATTGGAAATTGCAATTTTTGAAAAAGTTGAATACCCCCAAAATAGGGTCACTCAAACATAACCAAAGATAACTGCTGCAAACATTTTTCGTCTCTAGCCTCTCAGTCCTGTCCCCAAGCAATTGTATACGTATACCCATAGATACACATTATACACATTTAAAGTTTTCGATCATATGATTGTTGCTGGCTTATAATCTTCTTTCTTCAGTTAACAATATGCTATGTATGTCTTGCCATAACAACAAATATGGTAGTTAATATGCCATTTTAATGTCTGTGTGATGTTTATCTTAACACATCTGCAATTACATCTAACTAATTACTTTAGTTAAGATTGAGTTCATCCACTTAAATTTTTTTTTTTGAGATGGAGTTTCGCTCTTGTTACCCAGGCTGGAATGCAATGGCGTGATCTTGGCTCACCGCAACCTCCGCCTCCTGGGTTCAGGCAATTCTCCCACCTCAGCCTCCTGAGTAGCTGGGATTACAGGCATGCGCCACCGTGCCCAGCTAATTTTTTGTACTTTTCCATAGAGACGGGGTTTCACCATGTTGACCAGGATGGTCTCGATCTCTTGACTTCATGATCCACCCGCCTCAGCCTCCCAAAGAGCTGGGATTACAGGCATGAGCCAGCGTGCCCAGCCATCCACTTAAATTTACAAGAGTTTATTTTTCTCCTAAGAGGACTCTGGATGTAGACAGCTCAGGACTAGTTTGTTGACTTGGCTAAAACATCAGGCACCCAATCTCCTAGGACTTCCGCCCCTCCTAGCAGCATTCCTCATTCTCAAATCATGGCCACCAAGCTATAGTGTCATCTTCCTTTCACATTTCCCTGAAGGAGGAAGAGCGAAGAGAGATGGCTGCCCCTCCTACATGAGTCACTTCCCTTTAAGGTCCTTTCCAGAATGTGCATCACAAAAGAATTTTGCCAGCACCTCCATAGATCACTGGCCAGGTCGCCCCTGGCTATAAAGGGTCTGTAAGCCACCGTGGACATAATGTGTGTTATTTTCCTAAGTCAGAGGGGGAGTTGGATACTTGCCAACTAGATATCTTCAACACTATTGTTGAATGTCATATTTTTGGGTTTTGCCAGTTTTTCTCTTAGAAAAATATCATAATGACTTCGATCACATTTATCTTTGTATATGTGTTCATTTTTCCCTGGGGATAAATTTCTATACTTAGAGGTGCTGGCTCAAAATTAAATAATTTTTATAACTCTCAATATGTATTGATGATTTGCCAGCATTTTATTCATTTGCATATCCCACCTCAGTTTGCAGTAGTATCTGTCACTTATAACCAAACTAATATGAATATTCGGCTTTTTTTTTACATTTTCCAACCTGATAGAGAAGCAATGTATATTGTTACTTTAATTATGCAGATAATCAATCTATTACTTAAGATAAATTTAGCCTTGCTTATGGAACATGTTTTCTTTCATTGAAATGATCACTAAGAGCTGAAGTGCAGCTCCCTTATAAATGACAAAACTGTATAAACAAAATGGGTTCACCTTGTTTCCTTGAAAGATACAACAGTTTAATTCAGGGAAGGCAGAATTCCAGGGTAAATCACTGCAGTTTAAAGGTAGTTATTGCAGAAATGAAACAATCTTTGCTAAAAAATAATGTCATTACATTTTTGACCTTGGGTCTAGCTACACGAAGTCTAAGACATTCAGTTCTCTTTCTCAATTTTGTTTTTTACATGAAAAAAGGAGGCCTCTTTTCTAAAAGAGACTAAAAAAAAATCAGGGCTTCATTCTGAGGTAGATCTTACCTGTACTCCCAGAGGTCCACAGCTTAATGCCATTCTCCCACCTGTATATCACTTATAGTGGAGGGAAGATAGTTCCAGTCGTTGTCCCGAGGACCAGGGCCATCTCCTTGTTACCTGCCGAGGAGCAAAGAGGGACTGCAGCTGCAAGAGAATAGATGACACAGCAGCCTGGGACCTGGCCTGGGCCTCCTTGGCTCTCTCTGGCTGCCCTTTGACCTCCAGGGTTACTTGGTCATGGGAACGTCCAACAACGATAATCAGAGCATGCCTGAGGGAGCCACTGGGAAAAATAGGGAGTAGTTTGCATTTAAAATAGCACTTTGGGAGGCCGAGGCAGTTGGATCACCAGGTCAACAGATCGAGACCATCCTGGTCAACATGGTGAAACCCCGTCTCTACTAAAAATTACAAAAAATTAGCTGGGCACGATGGTGCGTGCCTGTAATCCCAGCTACTCAGGAGGCTGAAGCAGGAGAATTGCCTGAACCCAGGAGGCGGAGGTTGCGGTGAGCCGAGATAGCACCATTGCACTCCAGCCTGGGTAACAAGAGCGAAACTCCATCTCAAAAAATAAAAATAAAAATAAATAGCATCATCGGCATACCCCAGGAGTAAGTAAAGTCTAAGGAAAGACTTG